CGTGTGTCTGTTCAATCCGTGACGCCTGCATCTGCCACGAACTCCTTGAAAAACTTCATGCGGTTCTTGTAGACGGTCTCGCCCCTGCTGGTCATGTAGTCAGTATTCCATTTGGCGATGGCGTTGCGGATGGACTGGTCGCACTGGTCGGCGAACCACTTCTGCACGAACATTGGGATCACCAGCATGTGGGCCCACTCCTTGGCATTGGCATCTCCCTTCTGCAATGGCAAGTACAACGGCGAGGCGACGTACCCGTACGGAATGAACGCCACATCGCCCATATCCATACTGAAGACGCAAGCTGATGGAGAGTCGGTGGTGTAGAGCATGTCGCCGCTGGCCGTCTCGAAGAACTGGGGGGCGTCTGCGAGGGCAATGCCTTGCTCAGTCAGCCCAGCCAGCTTGTGGACCTGGAAGAACATCTGGCTAGTTGGGCACGTGACAAACGAACCGATGCCTGAAAACGGCATCGCACACGGCCCCCACCTGAAGACCCTGGCCCGAACTGAGACGGTCCACGCCTCAGCACCCTCCTCTCTCTGTAGCGAGTTGTCGAACTCAGGTAAGTCATCGGTGGTGCGCTCCACGTCGCGTGCGAGCTTCGAGAAAGTAGTAACTGCACTCTTGTGCTTACTGTTCTTGGCCATGTGCTTGTCCAGCTCGTTGACAGTGGAAACGGGCCAGCCACCGCACGCGTGCACGTAGTTGGCGACGAAGTTGTGGACGGTCGAGCCGACGCTGTAGACTCCAGGAATCTCGCTGTTGAATTTCTCGGGCATGTCCATCATGTTCGGCAACTTGGCGGCGGGGCCCTTCTTCTTGTCTGGGTGTTTCTCGTCTGTATCCTTGGTGTCGCCGCCGTTCCCGTCCTTGGGATCCGCGAACTCGCCGTTGCGAAGAAGCTCCTCAACGACCCTCTTTGCGTTCATCTGGCCCCAGCCGCCAAGCGCGAGCAAGTCTTTCACCTCGAATGCGTCCCGCATGTGTCGGCGAAGAGCTCACAATCGGATATCACCAACACCGCTGCCACTTGATTTTGCAATCGAAACCTTGCCTCGATCGAGTGGGTCTGCAACCGAGCTTAGTAACAAACGGGTTGACACAGAAACGCCCGAGTGAGGGCGTCAAGTGGCCCGAACATACACCAGAAGCTGACTTTACTAGAGTAGCCCCCCCGTTCGATCGACGTTGGTTCGGGTTGGCAGGGGCGCTGACGATATCGACATTTGGAGTTCAGAAATGCCGAACACCCTCGGACCTATCAGTGCACTCTGCCTGTTAACGCCCGATGTTTGTAAACGTATTGCCGCCAACGTGGCGTTTGCTCTAATCCTACGTATCTGACCTACGATGCGAACAAAGCGTGCCAATACGCACCATACTCTGAACATCTAGACGTAGGTAAATAATCTCGTCGTGGAGCCGTGACTCCATTTCCCATACTGCAAACCCGAATCTGCCCAGTCAGGTCCCGACGACCCCCAATCAGAACAGAACTCTCCAAGGCGTTAGAAGACAATTGGGCCTGATGGTTCGAGGGAAGGCGCAGCCTTACGCTTCATGTAGGCCGTGTGGTTGGTCGCGGACTTGCCATCTTTCTTCGACGACTTGAAGTAGTACTCGAGTGCGGGGATGACGTGCGCAATCGTCTTCAAGACCTCCTCGTGCTTGGCCTTTGCGCCATCAACATCCGCACATAAGCTGCCGCGGCTCGCCAGGCGCATGCCCTTGACGCGGTTGACGATGCTCACCATGTTAGTGTTGTGGGAAGTGATGCTCTTCATTATGTTTTCCTGCGTATCTGGGAGTTCCACCTCGTCGGGACGACTCAGCTTCTGGAACAGCTTGCGGACCTTGGTGGAAAGGGGCTCCAGCTCAGCTACCATTGACTCGACATCTTTCTTGATCAGATCTTTCTCTTTCAGCCAGCCCAGGCACGAGTTTGACGGATCATCGACTCCCTTCTTGATGGGAAGCTTCTTGCTGACGGCCGTCTGGGCGTCCGAGACGCGGCTCCTGCTCCGCTGCTTGCTGTGCGGGGTGCGGTCGTCGTCGCCGTGGTGTGCTGAACGGCGAGACTGAGTCGTGACGCTGACGATTGAAGGCGACGGCGAGCTGCGGCGCCTGTAGCTGCGCAGGCTGCGACCGCGGGCTCGGTGTGAGGCCGTGCCGCGGCTGCCGCGGGGACTCTGCTCCCTCCTGCTGCCCCTCGGGTTGTGGCTAGACCGGGAGCGGTGCCGCACCTGGCGCTCCGAGCTCCGCGCCCGCGGCGGCGGCGACATGGAGACTGGTTCGGGCGTCGGGGGCAGAGCGTTGCGAATGCCAGATCGGGCGATTGTAGTCGCCCTCATCCCCCCCGACTTGTGACCAGATTTTTTCTTGGACGACTTCTTCTCGTTATCATCGACCCAGACCCAGCCAGGGCCATGTCTCGGCGAGTGCCCGTGCTGCTCGATGTGGGCCTGGGAACATCGGTGGCTCCTCATACACCCCGCCA